ACAATGATTTGATTTATAAAAGTTTAACATTTAAATTAAGTACATTTTTCAAATATTTGAACAACAGTATTTTTAGATTTTATTTTAATTGTAGAATACTTATATGTCCCGCATTACAATAGTACAATACCATTATTTCTCCTTTCCCAGAGTTTTGACTATAATATTGTGAAATGTAGACAATTTCTTTTCCTTTAACTACTGATTTACATTAAAATTAAAATTTAATGTATAAACTTTCAAACAGTATTTTAATGAAAAAAAAAAAATGTTAATACCTACCTAATCTTAACAAAAAACAGTTAATATTACTGTAGTAGTAAGAATAAATTAAAATTATACTAATTGCATGGATATTATATTTTATTTTTCATTTTGCATAACATGTAGTTAATAATTTATTTTTGAAAATAAGAGTTAAAACTTAATCAAACCTTTTTACTCACAATAAGTATATTTTACAAATTTTAGTTTACTTGTCATATTTGAGATTTTCAATACCTGCGATGAGATAAACGAAGCAAATATAATACGATTAAGTACTTATATTATATACGTACAATATATTATACGCTATATTATGGGTTATARATGTAATATTATGTATTGCTAAAATCTAAGTTATTATTATTTTAATAAAATATTRTAGAAGAGGAATGTTACCCAGAATGTCGAACACAAATATGATTATTATTTGTGGTGATACTGTGTGCATGTAGAGGAATAAGTAAACTATGCAAATTTAGGGTTAAACTTATGAGCCAAAAATGTCTATRAAATGTATTTATAGAAAATGATTTTCCAACTATAAATATTTTAGGAAAATAAAAATGTTATTAAGAATCACTTATATATAATTTTTTATTGGAGAAGGTACCTTCTATTTTCATCAAAAAATAATGTCTATACATTATRTAATAGTTTCAGTGGTAAACACTGTAGTATATCTATAGAGTATAGACCTYTAAAGTGTTAAAAAAAAAGAGATATTTATCTGGAATTTTAAGTGAACTGTATAGCATATGAGTAAATAMATTATGACCTCCGGTTACAACAAATATKATATTGATTGTGTGCAAAGAAAGAGAAATTATGGATAAGTGTTTAATTTTACASAAAAAGCATGAACAGTTTTAAAAAACAAACAAAATCGGGAAAGTGGGGTGAAGTCGATCTTCTTTATAATGGCTACGCCAAGTATATGCCTTTGCGTGGCAGCTTGGCACCGAAAAGGTCACTATAATGGATGTTGTAAATTTGAATTCATTGAAAAATCATTATGTGTGATATAAAATGATTCCGAGCGTAGACGTTCTGCCAACGCACATTTCTAACGATATTTTATTATATTATGATTATATTTCTGTAGTTTATACGTTCTTTATTTTTCTATGTGTTCAATAGATTTAACTAATTTGTTCCAACAAACAATTTCAAGCATTGTATATTATTATTTATATTTCTGTATGTTGTTATTAACGTTTAGTTTTGTGATGGTATAAATAGATCAAAATTAATCTATATACTTTGAAATGTGTATGTAGTAGATAATCATATTATGGTCACGAGTAGGTATAGTTAACGAACAATTTCGAATTTTTATGAATGACATATTTTGAAACACAAAAAAATGACTATAATAATCTGTTCTATTTATTCTTTTAAATCATGATTTAATTTCCCTGACATCTGAACTTGAAATGTTAAAAAAAAAAATTGTGCTATTGTATTTTTAAGATTTATATRTTATTTTTAGAAAAGCTTATAAGAAACCTTGTACTATGTTTTCAAGCCGTAGCTAATAAAATTGAAAATTTATAATATTGGAAATAAAATCGATACTGTCGAAAAAAAACTACTGTCAAAACAAATCAAATCAGACATGTGTGTCCTTCAGCCATCATATCATTTCACTAATATTGTTTATATTGAGATGAGCATACACCTCACAGACAGTGCTATTTAAAATGCGATAGGTATAATATGATAGGTACCTAGAAATAAAAAATCTCTATAGCCAATAATTGGGAGTTTGTAATTTGCACCACTGCAGGTAGCCAAAAATAGTRTTTGTGATTGTACCAAAATGATTATTTATTTGTTCGATTATCAAATATTCGATTTTTCCTCAGTATCTTCGTAGACGTCGAGACTAGATTGACACGAATGATAATAATAATTTTAATACCTAATAATAATAATACGATTTAATTTTTTTAATTGGCCAACTTTTTTATATTCATAATTATACAATTTTATATAAACTTAGTACTTACATCAATATGTGTATAAGCTCAGCTATTTTATAAATAAWAACTAAGCTAAATTTATATTAGGATATAAAAACTTGTAGGTTTTTACTATCGAAAAAATAATCAATTTTAATTGTTGTGGCTTGGTGCAAATTACAATTCCTATTTCTTACTATTTGAGGATAGTGCAAATTACACATATTGTAAATATTTTGGGTCAATTTTGGTGCAAATTGACTACAGTCCAATAATCATATCATACTGGCTGACTCAACGAACTTCGTCTCACCCCAATTTATAACGTCTTCGGACAAACTCCAGAATGATTCTAAAATACATACCTATATAGTTCCAATTTCAATGTGATTTTTTCGAATGGAACAGAAATCAATAAAGATCGATACAATAATTTATATTGATTGCTATTGCGGTGGTTGAAAGCATTTAATATATTGTGCAATTTACCTATACATTAAATTATTATATAGCACCCGAAAATAAAACGCTCAACATAGGGGACCAAAATTGTRCGTGGGGTGCCTAGGCGAAATCCGATCAATTTTTCAAGTGCACATATCATATACATACACACAATAAATATAAATTACTCTTAGCAAGTCCGTTYACCGACTTGTGTCGATTTGTGTCGTAATAGGTTACGTGTGCGTTACTATATTACTATCTATAATTTTCACCATCAATAAAGTAGGCAGCTAAACTAAATACATATACATACCAATGTACGATAAATATATGCATACCTACATATGATGTATATATTATATAAATATATATRAACGTAATATATATGTAACTAAGAACGTACCTACCACGTAATGTTATAATGATTGCAGAATATCAAGTTCTGACATCAAAGACGTGTTCGGTATTATCGTATCATATTCGGTCAAGGTCAAGCTGTACTTGGGCGCACTGGGCGGCGAGCTAACTGCCGAACTGCCGTTCCTCGTCATGCACTCAAAAGTAAGTGGTTTGTTTCATTTTTTTTTTATTAGTCTATTATATGTATTAAATTTTATCGGTTTTGTTCTGCACATACAATATCAACACACCAACGTAATCGGTATCACTGCCGTRTAATACGCGGAGTTGAGATTATTTTATTTTTATTTCATATAATAATGATACCTATACGAGTAAGTATATAGATAATTATAATACTTCTTACCTAAGCTCTCGCACGCGGCAGGACCATTAAACAGGATAATATTATTGTAGATCGAAAATCAATTTTATTATCCTTCCATTGATAATATATATAGGATTTTTATTACCTATTTATTTGTTGGCACAATGACACGTTTCGGAAAGATTGGATTTATTATGTTTTAATCATACGAAAGCACGCGCGTCTAAGAGTAGCTAAGTATGTGTGTTTATCGCATAAAACATAATATAATGGACCCGTTATGTAACCTACGGACGTCGGTCACTACTCACAATATAACAGATAAATGAAAATCGCAATACCGTTTATAATTATATTATACGCATACTTACGACTTATTTAATTAAATGTTTTTTTTTATTTATCATTACATATTGAAAAGCAGTATCTATCTAGGCGTAGGTATACAAAATGGTACACGTACATATAGGTATTCCGTACGCGAGGTTATAACCATAAAATAGCTGCCATAACATTAATGGGTTAAGCACATTAACTCAACTTTTAACAACATTTATAAATAAATACAATAATAATGACTTTATTATTCATCGTGACATATTATATCATACAGTTCATAATTATATATTATAATTAATAATCATGATTGTTACCCAACTCGAATTTCATATTTCTATTATTTTCTATTTTTATTATTAATATTTAAACTTATATTATATATATTATATATATTATTGGCTTTCGAACGAAAATAATTCACAGTATATTTTTTTACAAAACTGTCTTTTATATAATATAGCCATTAGCCGTCTACCAGTAAATTCTCATTGTTCCTCAGACCTGAGATTGTAGATCGATAAACGCTTCAAGTTAAGCGGAAATCTTTACACAATTAATTTGATAATAGTGATTCATAATAATAAYAAATAAAAGATACGAAGACGAGTCAGCTCGAATGAAACGACTGTCCATTGACACCGCGTCGTCTGCACATTCTCAGAAAGTTATATGAAACTGTGCGGCATCCAATGATTTGAGTTTCGTAAAAAAATCTTTTGAAATTTGTTCGTGATGTAGTCTTAGCAGTTAGGTCCCTATGTATAATGACGGTGGGGCGTGTACAATTGGTGTAAAATTGTAAAACGAGCATGCGTCGAAATTATTTTTATTTTTTTTTTACATCATCGTTTGCCTGTTATTGTGTTATGCTCGAGGGAGTGGAATATTGCAAATTATAGCGTAAATACGTTCGTCTTGTGGGGGACACAAAAAGACTCGTTGAATTAATATAATATTCCGAGGAGGGTGAATCCAATAAAACGTCTTATTAATTAAATATGCACGAATAACAGGAACAACACATCCAGACGACTTTTTTATCTTCTGCAGCTTGAATCGCGAGTTCTATGCGAGTGTCGACGTTTCTTTAATTGTTATCATAAAAGAAAAAAATATGTACAAAATAYTTTTCAGTTATTATATTTTGGTCGATTTCAATTGGCTGTTATACGAAAGGGATACGAATAGGTAACGTGTAGTGTAAAATCAGATGAAATTCAATAGAAATATCACAATACCATCTCGACATTTTAGGATATTGCAATGTGAGCTAATAATTTTGACTTTATTTATATACACTTTATTGTAACTTCTTAGAAAATATAAAATATTACAAACCATAATTTTCTATTAATATTATAGTTCAAATCATAAAGTAATTCAAGAAACCTATACATATTACATACATATATCATAATTTTATATCATATGAGCACAGAAAACCWATATATTAAAAACAATAATTATACAAATAAATTAACGTTTTATATAACAATAATTTTTGTGAAATGTAAATGTTTTCCACATCGTTCATATCTTAAGAGATTCCATATTACAGTCTTTTAGGGATAAATTAATACATTTATATGCGTTCCAACATTTKGACTTGAGTTTTACGCCATAATTTTGAAAACATATTTGAATTTATTATGAGGTCTGTTCTGAATCCTTCGACAACGAGCGGAGTTAGCGYTTTTGTCTCACATGTACACAAGTATAGTATAAAAGTTGAAATTATTTGACCGCGAGATTTTATAATTCAGACCTGAACAAATACCAACATGAGTTTTACACCAATAATAATATTGAAAATAGATTTTATTTTTTTGATAAGGAAATTTTTACTATATAAAAAGAAAAAAATCTCACTTGATATTTAAAAAAACAGTTGATATTCTTAGATATTTCAAAGAAAAAAAAACAATTTTAACAACTTTTTTATAACTCCAACTTGAAGAATTCGAAATAGCCTTCATAATAAATTCAAATATGTTTTCAAAATAATTTTTGAATTATTACGCAAATGTTAAAATTTTAAATTAAGTCAGTAGCACATCATAGGGATGTATATTTTGCTCCAAATAACAGTAGGTATAGTGTAGATTCCTTTTAAAAAATTTACTATATGCAGGATGTCCCATGGAGATCTGAAAAAACTTTTATTCTAATCAACATTTTTAAATTATTTTTTTTTTAAATATAATTCATAGACATTTATGCTACATTTTTTATTTTTTAATACGGAAAACRAAAAACTTTACAATTGATAAAAAAAATTTTCCGTGACATTCAATATAGCCAATTTGTAAATCTTATTTTGAGAAAAATTTATATGGTAAAAAAAATTATTAAGTCAAATTGCTGATTTTTMCAATATTTTTAAATATTAATATTTTCATCAAGTAAATTAAGATCTAGTTTATGTTAGAAACATTACAATTTCAAAAAATATAAATTTACCTAAGTGCATATGGTATTTAAAAATTTTCACATAAAATATTTTTAAAAAAAATTATATTATTTCAAATTATAAAGTTTCTAACCTAAACGATCGTAATTTACTTAACAATAATATTGATACTTAAAAAAATTCAGCCGTTGAACTTAAACAATTTTTTTYTACTATATAAATTTTTCTCAAAATAAAATTTACGAATTGACTATAAGAGTTAGTTCATTTGTCAGAATGTCAGATCTCCGTTGGGAAATCCTGTATATATTTGTCTTATTAGTTATTTATATAAATATTTTAAAGTAAATTGATAGTTAATAATTTTCAATTGATATTAATATTGTATATTTAAATAATTAATATCGAATTATAAGAGTGCGTGTTTGTATTACTGTATAGCCAGGTAGGTAATGCTGAACTCCACTGAATTCTACTGAATGTACTGATATATGACAGTTGAGTAGGTATAGGTTTAGGAAGGTAATAATAAAATAAGTGATTGCCTTGTGTTATACACTTATACTGTATCGGATAAACCTCGAGATATTTGAGATATTTCTAAACGACAATCGTACACATATTATTATTATATATTATATTAATTTATGAATCAGGTAATCGAATAACAGTAAATATACCTTGTGAGTATCTATACTTGATTTTTGGTACGAGTATACTTAGCCAGATTTATTATGCCCTACGGCATCAATCTTGCATAGCTATAATATGAGTATAGGCTTCAACAGCATATTATATAATATATATAATATAAAATACACTATGTACAATATATAAACGTACTTACACCTACTCTGCA